TGGGCACTGGTGAGGCTGCACCTCGAATCCTGTGTCAGTTCTGGGCCCCTCACTGCAAGAGAGACATGGAGGTGCTGGAGCGGGGCCAGAGAAGGGCACCGGAGCTGGAGCAGGGCCTGGAGCACAAGTGTGATGAGGAAGGGACCTGGGGGGTTTAGTGTGGAGAAGAGAAGGCTCAGGGGGGACCTTATCGCTCTCTGCAACTGCCTGACAGGAGGATGGAGCCAGGAGGGGGCTGGTCTCTGCTCCCAAGGAACAAGGGATGGGACAAGAGGAAATGGCCTCAAGCTGCGCCAGGGGAGGTTTAGGTGGGATACCAGGAACAATTTCTTCCCCAAAGGGTGCTCAGGCATTGGAACAGGCTGCCCAGGGCAGGGCTGGAGTCACCAGCCCTCAAGGTATTTAAAAAGATGTGCAGACGTGGTACTGGGGGACGTGGTTTAGTCGTGGGCTTGGCAGTGCTGGATTAATGGTTGGACTTGATCTTAAAAGATCTTTTTCAACCTAAATGATTCTATATTGCTCCTTACCTCTCAGTTTACCTTTGACAAATTCTCACCATGCTGCATTGCAGTAACTGCCCTCAGGGAAGTGTATTTGACCGTATGAACAGCATCAGGGCTTATGCTCATGTTTTCTGCTTATGCATGGGAAGAGGACAAACTGCATCCCCATGATGGCGGAGAGGCCACAGAAAAGGTGCAGGAGGTGTATGCAGGTACAGACAGTGATCAAGTCTTGCTGGAGCAGAAGATGACTAGCAGGGAGGAAACCAGATTTTCATCTGGAAACCCAACAAAAGTCTAAGAGCTCTGAAAAGCAGAGAAAACATAAGCTGCGTAAGGCATGAGCAACTGGGACTATCTTGGGGGCTGTATCAGTGGCATCCACAGCTTAGACAGCTATTGCCTGGTACTGAGATCACTGCAGCATCCCTTCAGTGCTTCTTTCTCCTCCAAAGTCCGTGTCTTCTCAGAAGTTCCTTAAGCTAACTGCCAACCCCCCATGGTTTGACTTTTCTAAGCAGAACTGGCCAAAAGATCTTACTATTCTCTGCTCCCAAGCCAGGTCACCTGATGACAGCAGCCAGAGGGCACCCATCCCAGACCAAGGGTTTCCTTTCAGTCACCCGCTTGTCACCAGACATGGAGACTGGATGGCTCCAAACAGTCCCAGCATCCAGGGCCTCATTTTCTAACATGGGACCTTAATAGCATGTGCAGTTCCTGTGCGTGAGGGAACTTGCACTGGCCCCAAGCCATGAAAACTCCCTTGAGGATCTCCAACATTCAAGCACAAGATGTGAACATGCATTCAGGCCCCACATGAGGAACGCAGGGCCTGTCTTGGCAGTAGGAAAGACAAGCTCTTATTCTAAGCTCCAAGCAGGCCCTACTTCTCTTCAGCCCCTGCAGTGCAGAAGCCAAAGCAAACAGGCTCCATACCTTCAATCCATGCTTGTGAGCCACAGTTTTACTATCATCTGAAGCACTAAAGCAGCAACAATCCACTCAGCATCGACCTACAGCTACATGAACTCACTCCAGTACTAGCTGGCAGAAAAACCATTGCACAGTGGAGGTGAGCTGGAGTGTGAGGCTGCAAGATCAAAGCTTGTGCTCTAACCATTCAATCCTGTTGCTTAACCAAAGTCTAAAAGCACATTTCCCATTTTATTTCTTAATCTGTTCTGCCATGTGCAAAACAGATGTGGCAATGAGCCCCCTGGCATGCCCCATCTGCAGGCAAAAGGTGGGCAGGCAGGCAGGTTATACAGCAGTGTCTTCTCATCCTTTTCATCTCAGTGCTCATGGCAAGAGCATCAAGGACACAGTTGCTTCTAGTGGCCCCCCCAATGCTTTTGTGAGGGTGCTTTTAATTCAGTGCCCAAGTTGCCCCATCCCTGAACTTCTCCTAAAAGCTGCAAACCCAGTTACCTGACAAGGCACCTGAAGTGAGTTCCTGGATGTGGGTTCAAGGGAACGCACTTAGCTCCTATGGAGCAGAAAGACACAGATGCTGAATGGTTGGCTTCTGCAGTGTTCCTGAGCATTAGCATTCCCTGAAGCAGAATCAGATCATATTTTCCCCTGTAATCAGAGGGGCATTCTCCTGTCCTTCTAAGTCTGACGAACTAGTGAAACATCTCAGGAATTCTGGGGATCTGCCTGTTTGATCCAAACCTTGCAAGTACTCAACAGCTCATCATCAGCGCAGCAGCTCGAGCAGACACGCACGTGGAGTCTGGAAAGAAAAATCAGGGCAGCTGCTGGTGCCAAGAGGCAGCTCCCAGTTTCACAGGGATGCTGCCACAGCTCCAGCGACGGCTCGCAGCACTGCACGCTGATCATGTTTCCAGCTGAGGAAGGCCTGGGGTATCCTGTGCTCCCAGTCCATGCTGGAGCACAGATCCAACCAGAAACCCTGGGGTGCATCATGAACACAAAAGGACAGAAAGGAGATGTCTACGGGCCCCTCTACTCAGAAGGGGAGGAGGCTGCACGGTACTAACATACAGGCCTTGTTCTTAAGAAAGATGCTTAACGCTCCCTTTACATCCACGCTGTGAAGAGGTTACTGCAGTTTGCTGTTCTGTGCCCCCACAACTTGGGGCAATAGGGAGATCAGAAGCAATGGCACTGGCTGCACCCTAAGCCTGCAATTTAGAGAAGCCCACCACCAAGACATGCCATTGTGCTTGCTGATCCCCACAGTGCAGTGCTGTATTCTCACCTGTTCAAGACTCGCCTGTTCAAGAGGTTGTGCCTGCTGACCATCCGCAGGAAGCCCGTCGGGTCAGTCATTGAGTTCAGCTTGTTATTCATCTCCTCAAACTGCTGGTCCATGATATCCCCAGCTTCGCTCTCGGTCTCGCTACTGGCACAGGCTCTGCGGGAGAACAGAAGGGTGAAGGACTCATTGATTCAAGAAAGAGCAACAGCTTTGTGACAAATGCTCAGCCAGGTTGAGGGAAAACACTCGTTAGACAAAACCTCAACCAAATGCTCTCAATTTTTGCCTGGTTTGCATCACCTCCTGTTAGGCATAAGAGAGTAACAGCCCCATCCCCTCCTCTTCTCCTGGGTTCTTCAAGGTTTAAAAACTGGCACACACTGATGGAAATACAGGATCCAAGCTCCCATGCACTTACAGCACTATGGAAGGTGATGGCACTGAAATTTTACCATAGAAGCACACAACAACTACAGTGAACTTAAGCAAGCAATGAACTGAGAAGTCAAAAAGCAATTTCCATGTGTGCTATATGTATTTAAATCCCTCTGGTCTCTGCTGGTAGGCAGAAAACAGGTTCCAGGGCAGGCAGATGATAGCTGCTCCTGGGGGACTGGTGTGCTGGAGCACAGTGACAGTCAGCAGTGCTGTAAGGAAGTGCTTGATCCATGCGGGGAAAGGGTTTCAAAGCAGAACATGACCTTCACTTCACCCACATGGAACAGACAAGATTTGTTTGTTTAACTCCCTTGCATATAATTTTGAAGTGAGGAAAGAGCTCCTGCCTGTGATCATACCACACCAGCCCCATGACCTCAGAGACAAGCATTAAACCCTGAATCCTTAACCAAAACCATACTACTACCATCACC